CAGCAGTGCAGCAGACTCCTCCTTAGCACGGGCAGGTCTGGGGGTTCTTGTCACATGATCCTAGGCTATATCATGTGACTTCCAACCATGTGCTTGCTCATCAGTGGGCCTCATGCTGCCGCCTGGAGTTAAGCCCCCATTTGAATGTGCTCCGTCTCTCTCCCCTCACCGTATAGGTCCAGTTAGTGAATAACTCTTTTAAAGGCATCAAGTACCTGCGGCTCAACACACTGGCATCCCTTGGCTATGCTGTGGTGGTGATCGACGGGCGGGGATCTTGCCAGAGAGGCCTTAAGTTTGAAGGGGCTCTGAAGAATCAGATGGTAAGTCCTTGATCTGGTGTGTCTTTCTACACCTCGCTTGGCATCTTATACACTGGCTGCCTATAGTGTTCCGGATTCGCTTCAAAGTGCTGGTGCTTACCTTTAAAGCCCTACATGGCCAGGGTCCGGCATGCCTGAGGGACCGCCTTTCCCCATACAGGCCCCAAAGAGCACTTCGGTCGGGGTCACAACACCGTCTAGTGACCCCGGGCCCTAAGGAGGCCAGGCTTGTTGCCACAAGGGCCAGGTCCTTTTCAGTGGTGGCTCCTACCTGGTGGAATGAGCTCCCGGAGGAGATCAGGGCCCTGCGGGACCTTTTACAGTTCCGCAGGGCCTGTAAGACGGAGCTCTTCCACCAGGCCTTCGAGTAGGAGCTGCCACCGCCACTGCCACCAATGTGTGACTACAGAGCAGCTCCGCTGGGTTGGGCTGACTGGCCACCTGAACATCGTGGCCCATGGCATCCCCCTCGTTGATCCCAATGTGATGTGCAATAGGGAGTGAGTATGTTAGTCGCGATGATCCTGTGAGTTGTCCACTTTTGCTTAAATTGTTTTAACCTGTATTTTATTGCATTGTGTGCCTTAACTGTTTTAACTTGTGGTATTGTATTATATTTGTGTCTTGTAAGCTGCCCTGAGCCCGCGTGCGGGGAGGGCAGGTTACAAATGAAATAAATAAATAAATAAATACAAGATGTTGGAAGAGCCATGATCAGGTTTCCAGCTGGAGGTCTTTCGAGACATGTCTCTTAAATGTATACAGAAGGTCCCAGGTTCGATTCCTGGCACTTCCAGTTAAAAAGGACCAGACAGCAGGTGATGTGAAAGACCTCAGCCTGCAACCCCAGAGAGCCACTGCCAGAGTGTGAGCAAACGATACTGACCTTGACGGACCCAGGGCCTGATTCAGCACAAGGCAGATTCATGTGTTCATCCTTTGGAACCTCTCCAGTTATTTGGGGGGGGGGGATTGAGAGTAAATACTTACTTACTCTTGAGACTCTTGAGGGTCCCTTGGACTGCAAGAAGATCAAATCAGTCAATCCTAAAAGAAATCAACCCTGACTGTTCCCTGGAAGGCCAGATAATGAAACTGAAGCGCAAATACTTTGGCCACCAAATGAGAAGGGAGCCCTCACTGGAGAAGACCCTGATGCTGGGAAAGATTGAAGGTCAAAGAAGATGGGGACGGCAAAGGATGAGATGGTTAGACAGTGTCATCGATGCAACGAACATGAAATTGAGGGTGCTCCTGGACTCTTGCTCTTTTCTCTGTGACTTCAGTATGTGTATCTTGGGTTTTTCTGTCTGAGAGGTAGGGAAAAAATAAAAACCACAAATAGGGTCGGACTCAGTAGGTCAGTCTTGTCTCCTCTGACAGTGGCACTCCAGGATCTCTCAGGTGGAGGCCTTCCACATACATCCCCTACTGCCTGAAGCTTTCAATTGGAGGCCTGACACAGAGCGGATGCTCTGCCACCAAGCCGCCCATCCTTCCCCCGAGCAGGCAGTCATACCGAACAAACCTGACTCGAGGTATAACGTGTGGGCCACCGTGTAGACTTCGTTCATTGGATCTCAAGAGCAGGAGTGTTCTGTTCTGCTCTGGCCCAGTGGCCAGCTGTGGATTCAGATCCTCGTGCGCAACCCGCCTCCTCCATCTATGTCCCCTTTCTACCTTAAATGACTCCGCCCAGCTTCTTCTCTCCGCCCATCTTTGCACATCGACCAGGGACTTTCGGATGCCCCTTGAGTCCCACGTTCCTGACTGTAACTGAGTCCACGTACCGCATGTGAAGCAGAATGCGTGGACTTGACTCGGGCAGGTCTTCCTCCTTAGGGGAGGGTCTTCTGTGCTTGCTTTTATGGTCTTTATGAAACTCCGTGTCGGTGACAGAGGCAGTAGGTAGCTCTGTCTGTTAGAAATGTTTAAAAGAAGCAACAAAACAGAAGTAACCCTTTTTAGTTGGGACAGCTACATTGATGCTAAAATAGGGTTTCCCGGCGCGATGCCCCTGGGCACTGGGGAGCAGTGTTCCCTCTAAGCTGAGTTAGTGTGAGCTAGCTCACAGTTTTTTAGCCTCTGGCTCACACATTTTTGTCTTTACTCAGGGAGGATGGCTCCAGAGCAAATTATGCAGTACCCAAATCGCTCGCTCGCCACTTCAACGCCAGCAGCTCACAAAGGAGAATTGTTGCTCACAAGACTCCACAGCTTAGAGGGAGCATTGCTGGGGAGCCCACCCATGCTTTCTTTGGTGCTTGCCAAGCTTTGCAGAAAGTAGGCAGGGCTTGTAAGACGGAGCTTGTTATTCACTGCCCTCCTTCAGCTGAAAGGGTTTTCCAGTGCAAGCAGGATAGGGACCGGTAAGGACCTGGGTGTTTGTTAGACACTGTGTAGTTTCATTCCCCCCCCTTGCAGGATTTCCTTCTTCCCAGGAGGTGTGAGGAGGGAGGGATCCTGCTTTGGCTCCTCCTCCCGAGGCAGCCATTTTGGGATTGGCTCTTCCTCCTGTGGCAGCCATTTTCAGGTGGTCCTCATGACCCTCGCTCAGAATCCCAGAGTTGCTCGTGTGCTTTTGACAGTTGGGGACCCCTATTCTAAAGCAGTGAGCAGGCTTTCCAGTTTTCTCAGAGCTCAGTGTTCTGCACAAAACAGTATGGTATAGTGGTTAGCGTGTCAAACTAGGATCTGGGAGAAATTTCCGTTCTGCCCTGGAATTCACTGAGTGACCATGGAACCGTGATAGTCTTTCAGCGTGGCCTGCCTCACGGGGTTGTTGTGAGGATAAAACGAGGTGGTGAGAACCATGGCAACGAGCAGGAGTCCCCCGAATTGTGCATTTACTAGAAAAGGACAAAATAATAGAAAAGGGGAAATTAGAAAAGAAAATCCATCAAAAATCTATTGGTATAGATATTTACAAATAAAATATCTATTGGAATCCCCTCAATTTAAACAATCTAGATTACGACAAATGACCCGGGTTGAACAATTCCTAAATGGAAAAAAAAAGAACAATCACCTGGTTTAATAACAAAGCTATATAGATTTTTAAATGAAATAGACGAGGAAGAGATAACACTTTACCAAAAACAATAATAATAATAATAATAATAATATATTTCAATTTATTAATCGCTCAATCCTGCAGAGATGCTGGCTCTGCGCGATTTACAGTTACACAGGTTTCACACAAGGGACAAACAATTTCATAGGGGTAAGGGAGGACAACATATAATTCTTTAAATCGCACACATTTTGCAGCCGACGGGGATTTTTGTTCAGCTGTAGGCTTCAGTCGTGTTCCAGACGGTATTCACTTGGCTTAGCTTGATGACGTCAGCTTTTTCCAGGACTGCTTCAAGTCGCAGCACCGCACTGCCACCACCTGGTCGGATCGGCCCATTGCAGGCTTCTTGATGCCGAGGAGATCTTTCCAGGCTTACGAGCTGGACATTCCGTTTCACCGGCTAACACCTCCCCCCCCCACTGGGGGGGGTTTAGTGTGCCCACCCTCTCTAAGGAGTGGTACCCATTTTATCTACTCGCCGAAGCTTTCGAACCGCTGGGTGGACAGCGAGCTGGGGACAAGGCTGGTAGATTTACAAATTCAACTCACAAATGAAGACTGGAATAAGATTTGGAATGCCCCCAAGCATAACATCAAAAATATTTACTATCAAAATTTAAGCAATGAAAATAATAACTTGATAGTACATTTCCCCAGTAACGCTGTACCGCATAAATAAATCAAAATCACCAGACTGTAGAAAAAGATGTGGACAGCTAGCTAATTTTTTTTGCATTGCTGGGGGGCTTGTCTTCTAATTCAGGAATTTTGGACTCAAATAATAATAAAAATAAAAGACATTATAAAAGTTGGAAGTACCTTCGAAACCAGAAGTAATATTACTAGAATATTGGGCAACACTAAATATCACAATAAGACAAAGGAGCAACTTTCTATTTTATTGATAATCGCTAAAACATTGATAGCAGCAAAATGGGATAGATAATTATATACCTTCAGTCCAACAATGGTTAAATAAGCTTTGGGAGTATTTAATATTAAGCAAATGGACTTTTAATTTAACCAATAACTCAATAACACAATATTAGAATAAGGTTGTAAAAATATGGTATCCAATAGTAAGTTATTTAATGGGAAAAGATTTTCTTCCACAAAATCCTCTGTTACTTAATTATGATTTATTTTTAATTGTCAAGAGTTCATAAGTTTATTGTGTTTGCATGTATATTGCTGTAAAAGATTTTAAAATGTTAATTTAAAAAAGAGAGATTGTGAGAACCAAGCGCTGACCTTCTTGGAGGAATGGTGGGATTAAAAAAAAGAGTCAGAAAACAAAACAACTTTCAGCTAGTAGAAGAGAGTAAGTGGCAAGGGGACAGGGAGGGATGGGCTAAAGAAGAAAGTCCCAGTTCTGCACAGTGTCGCCTTCTTGAAACGGAGACCAGAAAATGTTGTTGTCTTAAATTAGATGGCACAAAGTGCACAACTGGTTTCAGCATCTTGCTGTGGTAGAGAAGGAAGAACTGCCCACTGTGGAAACAGAGAAAGCTTCGTTTCAGAGGGTAACCGTGCTGGTCTGCGGTAGAACACCTAGATAACAAGTCCAGCAGTACCTGAGTGATCAACAAGGGCATGAGCACTCGAGGCTCAGAGTCAAAGCTCGCTTCATCAGATACAAGTTGGAATGGAGACCCCTGAGTCCTTACATCCCAGTCAGAAGATGGGGGGAGGGTGTTGCAGAGAAGGAAGTCAGGATGCAGAGGTACAATGCACGTTGTAATCAGCTTGATTAATGCAGAGGAGAAATGCTTGGAGGCAGAAAATTAGCATCTGTAGCGAGATACGAATCTGATGTCCCTATTCAGCCCTTGAGGATCCATTGTTTTGAATTTGGGCACAACCTTAGAAAGCGTAGCAGATCATTGGTGGTACCAAACAAGTAATATGTATTTCCACTGCATATTCTGTTTCAAATCAGGCCTAATGCTCAGCAGGGGGGGCCATCACCTTGCTCAGATGCAAGGCCCCGCAACCGCTGGGAGGGAAATGTGGGCACCGAAATGGAGCAAGTGATGCATTTGACTCTCTCCCCTTCCCATCTTCTCCCAGGGTCAGGTGGAGATCGAGGACCAAGTGGAAGGTTTACATTACGTTGCGGAGAAATACGGGTTCGTCGACCTCAGCCGCGTCGCCATCCACGGCTGGTCGTACGGAGGCTTCCTGTCCCTGATGGGGCTTATTTGCAAGCCCCACGTCTTCAAGGCAAGTTGGAGGGTTGCTTTGGATCTGGGGGGGGTGTCACGAACGCTGAAAAGCCCTTGATCACGTCACGCTACAGTTTGGTATGCGTGGTGTCTCAAAGCAAAGTAGCTGTTGTTCTCTCTCCCCAGCGGAAACTGTGAACCAGTTAGGGGAATTTGCAAGGAATGGCAGATTAAATGTTGCAGAAAGCACTAATTTTATTCAGTCATTTATTAAAACATTTAAATCCTGACTTCCCGCTTGGTTCAAGGCAGTTTACAATAATCGTTGAAACATCCCCGGCGAAGACTAAAAATAAAACAGCAACCCCAAATCCCCTTCCCAAAATATGCCTACCATTTAAGCCCCCCTCGAAAGCCCTGGCAAACAGGTTGGCCTCGCAGCACCTCCTGAAGATTTCCGAAGCGCCCCCCCCCCCCACTTCAGGGAGCCCATTCCACAGAGCCACATTTGAAAAGGCCCAGGCTCTGGTCAGTGGCAGACGGGCTACCCTAAATGATGGGATAGCCAACAGACAGCTGCCTGACAACCATAGCTGCTGTGCAGGGACGTACAGAAGGAGAAGAGATATACCCCGTCCTTCACTCGGAGACTCAGAGTGGCTTACAAACTCCATTCCCTTCCCCTCCCCACAACACACCCTGTGAGGTAGGCTGGGCTAAGAGAGCTCTCTCGAGGACTGCCCTTGAGAGAACAGCTCTGACCAGGGCCGGCCCGAGGTTGTCCTGCGCTCTAGGCGAGCACAGATGCCAACCTCCCGGCGGGGCCTGGAGACCTCTCCACCGGTGGCTCAGCCGGCTGCCAGCCGAGCCAGGGGGCAGGAAGCCCGGAGGCGGTTGGTGGCTGGCTGGCTGGCCAGGGAGAAGGACGGCCGGATGGCCGGCCGTGCCTCCCCCCTGCCACGAGCGGCAGCAGCGGCGAGCCGAGGGGAGGTGTGCCTTGCCT